TACAAGGTACAAAGCTAGGCTAGTGGCTAAGAGGTTTGCACAAAGAGAGGGTGTGGATTACAATGAGATCTTTTCTCCGGTGGTGAAACACACTTCTATTCGAGTGCTATCGAGTATTGTTGCTCATGGTGATCTTGAGTTAGAACCAAGGTTTTAAATATCGGTTATCGGGGATTTATCGGACGGTCAAAATCCTTATCAGATAGCAGAAATCGGGGATATATCGGGGATAAATAGTATTTATCAGAGCGATATACTGGATTATGTATATATAAAATATAATAACTACAAATGTAATCTAACCATGCTTAATAAAATATAATAACTTTATTTATTTCATCAGATCATAAAATTTTATGCCTAACATCAGTCAATTTTATTTTTGTTGCAGACTTGAGTTCAAAATGACATCAAGATTCCAAGGAATGAAGGAACTGAGGAAGACAACTTAAAACAGAAATTGTAAACTATCTGCGGATCCAAGTTGTAAAACTAATTACTTATAAACTAATTGCAGATACAAGTTTGGTATAAACTAATTGCAGTGAAAATTAACTGTAATTAAAATTAAATTTGCTTATACATTACAGTCTCACAAATATTTTCTTAAAATTAATTGCAACTTTATCAGTTTGCTAGAAATTAATTACAAGACTTGTAACTAATTTCTTATAAAGTCTCACAACAAGTCACTGTATTTTAACACGGATATATGGGAAATCCTAAAACTACACAGAAATTCTTACAGAAAAGAGTTATAACTATCAAGTTATGTATGATGAAAGTGACAAACATAGATCAACGTGTCTTTTCAAAGAATAAAAAGAAAAAATGGAAGAAAAAGAAAAAAATAAACTTAAAAAGAAAAAAAGAGAGAACAATAATCGGAATCGGAGGAGAAAAAAATAAACTTAAAAGAAAAAGAAAAAATGAACTTAAAAGAAAAAAGAGGAGAGAATAGTAATCAGAAATTCAGAATAGACGAGGTCAGGGAGGCAAGCTGAAAAGAAAAATAAAAAATGAACTTAAAATAAAAGTAAAAAAAAAGAAAGACGAGGTCGGGGAGGTGAGCATACATGTTCGAAGAGGAGCGAGTGACGACGGTGAATGTTAGGGAGCTGCGAGGTCGGGGAGCTTTGAGCTGTGGAGCTGAGCTCTGAGCTGCGAAGGTCAAAGGAGCTGCGATGTCGGGGAGTGATGATGACGAGGTTCACAAAGTCGAGGCGAGGTTCGCTGGAGATTCACGAAGGCAAGACCGCACGGGGTTCATGAAGGCAAGACCGCACGAGGTTCACAAAGTCGAGGCGAGGTTCGCTGGAGATTCACGAAGGCGAGACCGCACGGGGTTCATGAAGGCAAGACCGCACAAGGTTCACAAAGTCGAGGCGAGGTTCGCTGGAGATTCACGAAGGCGAGACCGCACGGGGTTCATGAAGGCAAGACCGCACGGGGTTCACGAAGTCGAGGCGAACAATGAGCTTCACAGACGGCAGGCGAGCGACGAAGTTTAGGGTTTCAAGGTTAGGGTTGGCGAGCGACGAAGAGGCATGGAAGAAACAGCCGCCAGAGACGAAGTTTAAGGTTCTGGATTCACGAAGGTCAGGGTTTGAGTTTTCATTTTATTGTGAAAACGGGTCGGGTCGGGTTTAATATCTCAGCAATGTAACTCAAATGACCAGTCCCGATAACCACGATAATTTTTTCTCTATTATCGGGAGATAATTGCCTTTATCGGTGATTTATCACCGATAAACTGTCAAAAACGATAACCGATTACAAAATCAACTTATCCTTGTGGCAAGCTCAAAAATCTGATATATCAGTGATAATATTGGACTATCGACAGATATTTAAAACACTGGCTGGAACAACTTGATGTTAAAACGGCCTTCTTGTACGGAGACTTGGATGAGGAAATCTATATGCATCAGCCTGAGGGTTACAAGGTTGAGGATAAGGAGCATCAGGTATGTCACTTGAAGAAATCACTTTATGGATTGAAACAATCTCCTCGGCAGTGCTACAAGTGATTTGACTCTTTCATGCTAAAGCATGGGTTCTCCAGAAGCAATTATGATTGTTGTGTCTATATTCGGAAGCTTCATGGAGGTGATTATATCTATCTTCTTTTGTATGTTGATGACATGCTTATTGCTTCGAGAAGCAAGGTGGATATAGATAGGCTGAAATCTCAACTTGGTAAAGAGTTTAAGAACATGGGCGCTGCTAAGAAAATACTGGGAATAGAGATTGGAAGAGAGCGGGCAAATCGGCAATTGTTCTTGAGTCAGAAAGGCTAAGCGGGTTATCGCAAGGTTTGGGATGCAAAGTGCTAAGTCAGTGGTGACTCCATTGGCTCCACAATTCACACTTCAGACTCTCAGGTAAACAATCTCCCACTACAATGGAAGAGAAGGCACACATGGGGTGTGTACCTTATGCTAGTGCAGTTGGTAGTTTGATGTACGCAATGGTGTGTACACGTCCAGATATTTCACAGGTGGTCAGTGTTGTCAGTAGGTTCATGGCGAATCCGGGAAAGGCACATTGAGAAGCGGTGAAATGGGTCCTGAGGTACTTGAAGGGTACCGTTGAAACAGGTCTGTATTTTGATAGAGATACATGTCAGATTGATGGATTTGTGGATTCAGATTATGCGGGCGATCTAGATAGACGACGATCTACTACTGGTTATGTATTCAGTATACATGATGCTCCAGTTAGTTGGCGATCGATGTTACAGGCTACTGTGGTACTTTCTACTACGGAGGGTGAGTATGTGGCCATGGCAGAGGGAGTGAAGGAAGTACTGTGGTTGTGGGGTTTGCTAGATGATTTGGGGATTGAGAGGGATTGCGTGAACTTGTGGTGCGATAGAATACAATTCATTTGGCTATGAATCAAGTTCATCATGCTCGTACCAAGCATATCGACCTCAGGTATCATTTTGTGCGGATGTCATAAAGGAATGTTATTTCTCTCATGAAAAGGTGCACACAACTGAGAACTCAGCAGACATGTTGACCAAGGTGGTCACAGGTAGCAAGTTTTAACATTGCTTGGAGTTGTTTAATATCAGCCTGTGTTGATCTGCCCAAGAGGGCAATGTGCAGAACTACGATTAGCTTGATCCTGGTCAGAGGGTACGTAGGCAACCATAATATAATAGTGCAGCTGGTTTGGCCTGGTTTTGGCCTAGTTGGCGTTCACAGTGTTCTTTTGGTGTTAATCCAAAATTTAAGGTTTATCAAATAATGGACGAGGTGGAGAATTGAAGAGAACTGACCTTGATTCGAAGGAGGAGCTCGCCTGAAGATCGACGGCGAGGAAGCTCGCCTGCTGACGAGGCGAGGGCGAGGAAGCTCGCTTGCACGTAGAGAGGCGGGGAGGGAGCTCGCCTTCTAGACTGCGGGCGTAGAGGATATCGAGCTCGTCCGATGTGGAGCTCGCCTGTCGCTTGCGTGGTGGAAGCTAGCTATAGTCAAGCTGGCGTGGAGCTCGCCTGAAGACCTAGGCTCTCTCTCTCTCTCTCTCTCTCTCTCTCTCTCTCTCTCTCTCTCTCTCTCTCTCTCTATTTTAACAGAGAGGATTTTTTCTCTCTGTGGCGGCGGCTCTTCTCAGGGATTTTGAGGAGCAATTTTCGGTCAATAAAATTGAGATTGAGTTGTGATTTATTCAGTTGAATAAATCACAAGCAATACTGTAGAGAGATCTCAAGTTTGAGATCTTCTCTTAGCAAGTTTTGTAATTTCTTGTGGTTAAATAAGAAATTAATTGTGCGGCTCCCGTGGACGTAGGCAAGCTTGCTGAACCACGTAAATCTGTTGTCTCGTCTCATTTACTTATTGTTTTATCTGTGTACTCTCTATTGCTTGTAATGGTTGGTTTGAGTTTGACGTAAACTTAAGCTAGGATTGTTTTCTCTCGGGATTGATTTAGCTTTCACAGCGGTGTCAGCGTTCCCTCGCTCCCAACACTTTTATTGCTCTCCTCTTTTCACTTCCTTTATCTTTTGTAGTCAGGATCCATTCAACCCATGTTAGCTACATAAATGATTTCATGCGGTTTTTTTTTCAAATTTGAATTCACTCTAACAAGGTACCTTTATGAGTGAATTTCTGTTATGTTTCTAACAAATGAAGTCCAAATCGGTCCTATAATTTTCAATTACAAGCTACGAACACGAATAATGACACAATGGTTAATAGTTTGTTTGGAACTAGTCTAGTACAAAGCCAACAATATACATACACTATAGCTGCGGAGGTGTATTGCTCGCTGGATGAGGGTAAATGGAGCCTGCTTAGTCTTACATTGACTATATCAACTAGTACTTTGATGTAAATTAACTAGAGATTTGAATTCCTCCAACTCTGTATCTACTTCACTTTTATTTTATTGGGGTTTCTCCGATATTAATCCCAAACATTTTCATGTTTTAAAATTAGTCCATCAAATCTTTATCCGATATTAATCCCAAACCTTTTCACGTTTTAAAATTAGTACATCAAATCTTTATATTTTGACCCCAAATCTTTTAAGTATTTGGAAATTAGTGTCTTTGTTATATTAATCAACCAAATTCTTATCTTCGCTTGGATTATTAGTTAATTGGGGATGGGTGATTGAGTAAATCATCCTTATGAAATGTATCCCCCACCAACTTTAGCTTCCCACTCTCTTCTCATTTCCTGCTTCCACTTCAGAGAAAAGGAAAATTATCCTAAAATCTAAACCCAAATCAACTCAAATCAACACCAAAATCAAATTTGAATGCATAACGGTGCAAAAACATTGTATCTGAAAATGTTAAAATACAGCATAGCGTTCCCTCAATGTGAAATTCTTTAAGCAGAGGGACTAATTTGTAAACACCTAAAATACATGAAGGACTAATGTCAAAATATGAAGGGTTGGGGTATTTATTCTAAAATATGAAAAGAGTAGTTTCTTTAGGACTTTTCCCGCCTCTTTTGTGTTGTTAACCAACAGATGCAATATAAACAATAACCGCCTTGGAGGGGAAAAAAGAGCACAAGGCTAGTCAAACAGTTCCAGTAGCAGACAAGAGACTTCATTTGTTAAACAAACAACAGCACAATATACAGGACAATCTAACAAGCAGTAGCCTCAGTTTAACTGACTTATTGGCAACTTTACGAAGGCCATCTTTAATCTCTTGTAACACTGCAGAGACTACACAAAGTAAAATCCCATGGGATCACAATAATGCGTGAAATGCACTTAGCATTGTTCTTTCTACAGAATCTCATGAATGACATTCTTCATCATATGTTCTCCATTGAATATTTGAACTCATGTATTCAAAAGGGAATATACCATCCTTAATCCTATCTTTCTTCCATGTCTCCAGTATATCTGATGCTGAGGGTAACTTTGAAAATGAGTCGTCGATATTATCAGTCAGCAAGTCAAAACATGATTCCCCATTAGGAGAATCTGAGTGGCCTTTTTGAGTAGATTCGGACCATTTACCTTCATTCCCAATAGATGAGCTAGAAAACACATCAAAATCAACTCCCTCCAGCAAATTAACATCTGTATCATGTCTTATGCTAAAGTTACCATTGCAGTTTGATGCTATAGAAGTAATATCATTCCCTCTGGATTCAGATTCACCATCACTGTGGATAAGAGTAGAACAACGAAGATGGCCCTGAATCCTCTCTCTGTTGCCAAAGATGGATTCATTTTCTGAATCCTCTCTAGAAGCAGCAAGTAAAAGGGCATTACTTGATGGTATTTGCACATAGGACTCCAGTGATCTTATGAAATTGGGAACAGGGTCCTCCATCACTAGGTTATCACTGTTACCGAGATGGTTTAATAACTTCAGCAATTTCTCCATGCAAAGGTGATCCTTGTTCCAACTGAAGATATTTGACCACTGGGACTCACATACACACATTGAAGCATGAGCCATGCCGTTGATTAGAGCAACCGTTCTCTCAAAATTCTCTTGTGAAATCGTCTGGTATACGAGTTCAATAAAGAGTGATCTGTGAGGAACTTCTTCTGCTTCCAGAATTGAGTCAAATGCGTGCTCAAGCAAATGCCCCTATAGGAAATTCACAAGATTTTGTGCTTGTTCTTTAATTTTCCTTTTACATATATTGATATGACAGACATAAAGACAGTTCATAGGTAACCATTGTGCATGTGATAGTGGACAGTCAGGAAGGTTACTAGTTAGAAAATCAAGTACACGTAGCAAAGTCCCAAATATGTTAGATTGCTTATGAAATTTTAACTGCTTCTGATATTTTATTTAATACTACCAATCGAGATGGTTCACGCTTGAGATTTTGGTTTAGCCTCAGTCAGAATAAGTTAAGAGCTTCGCCTGTTAAGTCTTTGTGCTTAAGGTTGCTAAAGCAATTAAGATAACAGACGCAAACATGTTGCCAAAATGACTAGGGAAATTATTGCAAGTTTAACTCAATAACATCTCTGCCAGAAGACAAGAAGATTGAGCATAAAGTTCAATAAATAGCCATGGGAGGGACATATTTAGGTGTGAAAGATTAACTTGAAAAATGAAACATTGGCTAATATAATATAACAGCAGCTACAGACAAAACAAACACTCACCTGCAGTTGTAAATGATTGTATCTCAAGTTTTGATGGTGAAATGCACAAGTTGGATGGACCAAAATATGAAGAAAAATAATGTGCACAAATGGCTTAAACTGCCTTGGTTTGGTTATGATTATTGATCAATGTAGAACAGATTAGTGAAGATTGAATTATGACATAGAGGGTTTTATAGCTTTTTAAGTCAAACTTTTTCATATCTAAGTGCTTGGTAAAAACCAAATAAATAAGCTTATAAGCCCCATTTTAAAAAAATGGTATACCCCAACTTTGAAAATCTACCTTATAAGCTCACCTAAATAAGCTAGATTTGACTGAAAAAACATCTATTCTGCCCAAACAATTTTTGTAGCATTTTTATCATAAAAGCTGCAAACCACCAAAACCCAGCATAACTTATATAAACTTCAAAAGAATAAGTCCTCTCAAACAACTTCATAGTATTCGGTCAAAGAAGAGCGCGGGATGTACCGAAAAACTGATACACATAACAGTAAAAGCATAGCCACGGAATCTGTAAGCCTACACTACAACTGTAATATTAATAAATATTTCCAAAAGATAATCATTTGTATGAAGAATTTGAGACAAACAGATCTAGTCTATTTTTTAAGAAATCCAAAAATTGCTTCACTCCAAAATTTTATCTGGATCAAGGAAAGTAAAGAAAACAGCAGAGCAATGAATGATGAATCCCGAGTTAGCAGGAACACAGGATTCTCTTATAATTGCACGACAACTAGGCACCAAAAAAAAGTTTGGCAGAAATGAGGATTTGAAAATGAAAAATAACCAAACATAGGTCAAGGTATGAGCTTTCATTTTCAGATGAAACTAATATAAATAAAATTATTACTGCTGATGTTTGTCATGGCAACTAGAAAGCAAGCAACAAGTACGTAAGCCCATATCTAATACTGAGGAAACTGCATCAGTTTCTTATTAGAAAAGTTACAGAAATAACACGCAGCCATGTCAACAGTTATAGGCAAATTAGCAAACAAATACGCAGAGATTACAAAGCATGTCAAGAATCAAAAAAAGGATGACAGCAACCATGATTCTGATGAACATGAAACATGATACTATAAGCTCCTATTGCAATTCTACAACATTAAAAAAACTTCTACTCACCTTGCCAGCTCGAGATGCTGCAACCAATAACCTCACATGTTTATTTTGGTCTAGTTGAAAACCACATAGAGCCATCTCCTTATATACATGCTCAAAGTATTCCCACTGGTGAGCAGCAGCCGATGCCTCAAGCATAGATGTATACGAATAGGCATCTGGTTTCAGTAATGTTCCATCATCAATGTAGGCCGAAAAATCATTTGAATTGTTCTTAATAGATTCGAACAACTCTTTGGCTTTTGCAAAATTGTCACTGCAGCCATACATTTTCAGCATGGCATTTATGGTCCCAACATTAGGCACACAGTGATTTTTCATGTATTCAAAAATTGATATGCAGTCACTAGGGTATCCACCATTTAGTGAAGATAAAATTAACCCAGTGAATGTCACCTCCAGTGGCTTAGCATGAGAAAACCTTTTAAGCTTTTCAATCTACAAATAAGACATTTAGACATGTAAGCTCAAACTTTATAGGCAATTCAGTACTTGGAGAATGTTAGGGCACGAATAGCTGAACAAAGCAAAACATAAACACCTTCCTATGAGCATTTCTTTGCTTAAAACATAAAGTAACAAAGAACAATGAAACATAAACCTGACCTATTTTATTTTGGAAAATAATATAATAAGTAAAAATATAAAATCTTATTAGCATGACCTTATTAAAACATATATTTAACAAAGAATATGCAACAGAGGAAAGTGCACAACGCAACTGCACTACCAACAAATGCTGTCCACGTTTCTGAAATTATGAAAATACTCATTGATAGCTTCTTTGCCTTCCAAAAATAATAATATACAACCAACAATGAAAAGAAACAAAATGCCAAAGCCAGCACCTTCAGGTAGTTATAATTGTTTGATTTGCCACCCATTCTATCCAGCAATAATAGTGTTCAAACTTGTCGCCATGGAGGATTTTGAAATGTTAGTATTTTTCTTTCTCTTTTAGGAAACATCAAGAATATAATAGTACAAACAATAAAATATAAAAACAAAATATGACAAGGACCTAGTCCGCGTCTTAGCTGGGAACGTATGACTACTAAAAAATAATAAATGATGTGCCAATTCTGCGTAAAACAGAAAAGAGGTGACTTAATGCAGGTTATGGATTGGTCATCAGACGCAAAAACCTGAGAAATATACATGGTAAAATAAATTGACACTTGCACTAAAACCATGAAAGATGAAAGGAGACACCAAAAAATAGAAAGTTGACAAAGGTAGCAAAATTTTGATAACTAAAGGAGGATGTACAGATCATAATATGTTCTGAAAAAATGAATTGTTAACAACGTAAAATGATAAGGTTGCACAAAAGCAAGAATCCAGTTGATAGATAACAACAAACCTCTACCATAGCATCTCTCCATCTTCCCTTGTGACAAAGACAGCATGCTAATTCATAGTAGACGTTAGCTGTTCCAACTACACCTCTCCGTTCCATGTCCCTGACTGCCTCAACTGCTTCGTCTACTTTACCCTCTTCCCAAAAGGTTCTCACAAGAACTGCAAGAATTTGATTAATATAAGCCATAGAAAACATAAATAAACTTAAAATGAATAATGATCATCTATCACCACCTTTGTAAGTCAAGGCTTTTGTAGCTAGACCACCTCTTCGCATTGTCTCAAAATATTTGTGAATCCGACCATACTTGCCGGCTTTCAGCATCACCTTTTAACAAGCATTGCCTGTAAGGCTAAACATGCAAATATAATCTAAGGACAGATAAAAAGTTCATGATGATACGTAACTAAATTACCCCATTTTTTGGTGACAGATTGTCCTGATTTGATTCTAAAGCACTCTCAAAAACAGTTACATCAAGAAAGACTTTGAATGTGATGTACGAACTTTGTTAAAAAAATGACAGAAGAACGGAAAACACCACCTCATAGGGAAGCATACATTTGATATTCATGATCCCAATGTGGAGCCTCTACTAGTGGCTCCTGTGTCTATATGCATTCAGCAACTAAACTAGTTTTGTATCCCTTAGTAGCAGTCTCCTGGTAGTTTGACGTAAGCATTCGACATGTCATCACTCCCATTGCAGTTAGATGATTTACTGGTGACTCTACGACTTGTCTATACGTACAAACTTTATAAACATCAACAAAAGAGCCGAAAGCACCAGCCCATAGGGAAGCATATATTTGATATTCATGAAATCAACATGGAACCTCTAGTATTGGCTCCTGTGTCTATATACATTCAGCTTCTAAGCACATTGTTCATCACCATTTCTAAGGGTAATCTAGAATCATAATATGTACGTCCTCAAAAGGCAAAAGTTAAAGCACCAGTAAAGCATCTAACTGCAGTGGGAGTGGTGACACATTGAATGCTTACCTCAAACTACCAGGAAACTGCTATCAGGGGTTTCAAAACTAGTTCAGATACATCTACCTCAAAGTACCAGGAAACTGCTATCAAGGGTTTCAAAACTAGTTCAGATACATCTACCTCAAACTACCAGGAAACTGCTATCAAGGGTTTCAAAACTAGTTCAGACAGATGTATCGGCTTTTGTTTGATTTTATTAGAATTCTTTAACCATGAAAGTGTAGCAAATTCCTATCTAGATATAAGATAACGCTACTCTAGTCCAATAAAATGCAAGTACTAGCAGGTTAACATCTTCATCATCACAGGTTGTATTGAAAATATAATCATGTTGCATCCAAAGATTTACCGACTGCCATGAATTTCTAGAAGATGTCTTCTGATAAAGCCAAAAGGATGCATCTATGTGTTATAGATTTCACCATGTGAAAGCTGACAGACAATTTAGCTACCACAAGCATGCATTCAAAAAGATACAAATAGCTTTAGGGAGTACCTCCATGGCCAGCCCATAAGTTGTTTCAGTAGGTTTCAATCCACTAAGTCTCATTTTGTGCAACACCCAAGATACTCCTTTCCACTGGTGGGACGGCACACATGCATTCAGCACCTGGAAATATGGTGGCATTATGCAAAAGAGTAGACAGCTGATTTAAATGATAAGGTTTTCCTTAGGCTGCTACTTAAGAGATGTGAAAGCAAGAAGCCAATGCAACAATGAGACGAAAGGCTCTTTCTTACTGCATTAAATATGACAATATCAGGTTCCAAGCATGGATTCCAATTTTTATACTTTATATTCTTAATCCTCTTAGAAGGTTTCTGCTTCATGGATTCTACAATACTAATTAACTCATTCACAAGACCAGCTTGACCAAGCGTCACTGCGATGGCATGGTATGCAGCCATATCTGGATATAACTTGCCATCATCCTGCATTTAATAAATATAAAAAACAAATAGATGAGAAAACAAGGTGTATTGGGAAGCCATTAACTTATCAAAAGCAACCCAGTACGAAGTAAAGGCAATTACTCGCATCAAATTAAAAACTTGACAAGCTTCAATGGGTCTCCTTGCTTTCCCCAGAACTGATATAAGCTTCGTATATACAAACCTAAACAAACAACAGATTGTCAATGTCTGCTATCCGACAGTAGTTTAAGTTCATAATCATGTAAGGAATTGGATAATATTTCCAACAAACATAAAGTGATTACTTTTTCATGGCTACTTCCTATGATAAACAGAATTGTATTGCTCATAACCTCACCTGCTTCTAAGATGTTTGTAATCCTTTTGATCATAAACCCATTCAACAACAGACATCGCAAGTCTCCAATTGCCGAGAATGCCAAGCCTTTCAACTATTTTAAGTACATGCATTTCAGAAAAGATTATACATGATTGCTTCATCACCCTTGAAAACTTCCAGTCTTGCGTACTTAGGTTTGCACAGGTTAGCCTGCACCACATTTCTTCAGAGGCTGAAACATCTAAAGCAGATCAAATAATAGAAACAAAAGGAAAATAGATTGACTACCATAGGAAGGATACATAAGAGGAGGATTTTTAAGAACCACCAAGCTAATAATTATACAGCTCCTTCACAAAATTAATCACAGCAATGGGGTGTGTGAGCGCATGCGCTCAAGAATAGATATGAGGTGGCGCCTCATTTTGCTAAATGAGCTACCAAGAGTTAGGGTTGCAGTGTGGCGCACTGTGCTAATCACATCAGAAGATGTGGGGCTCACCACTTTTATCTCTTGGCAGTTCAGTTCATTTTGCTAAATGAGCCATTAAACACAAGCACCAACACACACAAGAACGCACATAATAAACGAAATAAACTAATGCTAGATGCAGAGACATTAACTTTGTTGCACTAAATTCAACAGAGAGGAAATATTGATCATAGCTATCCTGAATTCTCCTTTTCTGGGGAAAAACATATTTCATAATTGAAGATCTAGATTATTATTGCATGTAAACACTTGAAACATGTTTTGTTGCTTTCATTAAGTGCATCAGATAATGAAAGTCATCCGAAGGAAATTGTTGCACATATACAGTGTTTTTTATTGTTACAGATTTGCCTTCTTAAAAAAGTTCTCCAAGCTTTTTTGTGTTTGGTAGGTTGGAGGATATCCCAAAATTTTACATGTGGCGTGCTCAGAGTCAAAGTCACATGCAACTAATTCAATGGCTAGATGAATATGAAAGGATAACTACATCAAAACCACCAATGACTTGCAGGGCAGGGTGCATATACTAATATAACATGTTATATTAAATAAAATAGAAAATTATTTATTGTTTAATATTTTATTTTTTAACTATATTTTATAACTTACTATAATATTTAACTTTAATATAATAGTAATTATATTATATTAATTTAATATAATATATAGGAATCTAATAAATGTTATATTATATTTTATAAACTTTTATATTATATTATATTTTTTATTTTTTTCATCAATATAATATAACATATTAATGGAATATATTAAATTAATATATTAAACATATTTGAATATATTATAGTAATATATTAAACATATTATAAAACAGTATAAAATTAAAATATTGCTTATAATATAAAATATTATATTTAACATAATTTAATATGTTATGTTAATATTGAGATAAAAAATATATTATATTAATAGTTCTACAATATAATAATATATAATAGATTGAGCATTATATTGTTAGTAAATACTCATTTATAATATTATATTAAATTCTATTATTTATATATTATAGTAAAATATTATATTATAACATGTTATAATATATTATATTATATTTAATATAATTTAATATACTATATTATTATTTATGGAATATAATAATATATAATATATTGAGCATTATAACATTAACAAATTATTATTTATAATTTTATAGATTATATTTAGGGCCTGTTTGGTTCAATGGAGAGTAGGAATAGGATTAGGAATCCTATTTTATTTATGGATTCCAACCTAATCCATAAAAAATTTATAGATAAGTTTTAGTTTTATGGAATCCCATTTTTTTTTGTATTCTATGTTTGTTTCATCTAAGGATTAGGAATAGGATTAGGAATTAGAATAAAAAAGAGGAGAGGTGTCAGAAATTCCACCCAATTCCTAGCAAATGGAGTGGATTTGGATTTCCTGAAATATACACTGTTTGAGCCACTTTATAGATTAGCAATTCTATAAAAAAAAATTAAACCAAACTCAGGATTAGGATTCATTTGGAATCCATTAATTACGAAAACGCCATTGTCAGGTCCAAATACCATTCCTATTCCATAAAATTGGTGAAACAAACAGGCCCTTAGCTATTATACTTGCATCCTACCCGAACTCAAAACCCCATGCCAAACTCAAGACACATAAAAGGTGTTTTCAAATAAGTGTGGTGTTTGTTGTTTTTGGGTGTTTTTTACCATAAAAACACCATGGTTCCCAAACACATGGAGTATTTATTTTGACAAAAACACCATGGAAATGGAGGAAACATCATGGTTCCCAAACGCTCCCTAATATACACGACTTAGAAGAGACGTGTATCCTTTAAGCATAATTGTTTATCTTGAGTAAAACCCACTGTATTCAGATCTTTCTCAAAAGACAACAAATCAAATCCTTCATGGTACAAGAATCTTTCTACAAACTTACACTTTTCAGTTGCAGTAATATGTCATATCTCATCACATTTAACGGAAAAAAGAACATTGTGATGCCAAAGTTCATACCTTTTAACTAGCAACCGAATCTTCTCATCTTCACTTATATTCTCCCTCAATCGAACCCCATTTTCCAAACTTTCTCCTACTTCTTCAACATCAGCATCAAGAACCCACCTCAAATTGGCCCCATTTCTCTCCGCCAAAACCTCTCTCAACTCATCCAAATGCTCCCCTCTCAGCTTCCCCCCACTAATCAACCTTCCCCTCTCAACTCCACGCAAATCAACCTTCCTGCTCCTCTCCCACGGCCTCCCCTTGAGCTCAACATGTTCCACAACTGCTCTATACTCAGCCTTGATGGTATCAAAGAGAAATGATTCATCATCATTGGAGAGTGGAGAGAGTTGCGGTTGAGATTGGGATCGTTTCTTGGATTTGCGGAGGAATTTTAGGGTTTGCTTCTTGCGGACAGCGTGGAGGATTTTGGGGGTGGGAGTGACTCCCTTTTGGAGGAGCTCTTGTTTGAGGAGATCGGTGTTGGGTTTGCGGGGTTTCGTTGTTGAGGGTTTGGATTTGGAGATAGGGAGGAGAACAGGGGAGCGGAGTGAGAGGTCCATGTAGGGAAGGGAAGCTATAATTGGATACAGTAGGAAAACAGTATTTTATCGCCAAAGGTGTTTGTTCGATTAGCCCCTGACATTTTCAATAATTGTATCAGTCCCTCAAATTTTGAAAATAGTATAGTGGTCCCTTAAGACCAATGGAGGGCAAGATCCTACCTCTAGTTAACTCCAGTTAGATTTGAAGGGAATATTCCCTTAAATGTAACATTGGAGTCAAAATTATTCATTTTTATCCATCTCTGTTAAGTCACTCAACTCATTTCTTAATTGGTTTAAATTCAAAATCCACATTAAAAAAATCCAAACACACTTGAGCTTTTTTATCTAATGATCATAAAACAAAACTATCCAAAATTAAACTTTTTAGCAGTCATAAGTCTTTATAATCTGTGTACTCCTCTCAATTTTCTCCTCTTACTTACATGTTGTCTCTCCTCAACAATTCTAAACATCAAAGAGAATAACTTTTATATCTTTTATTTATTATGAAAAGGGGTAATTCGCATTTGCGGATCACGAGCTAAGAGTTAACCCAACTATAGTTGGATGTTTTAACTGAAAACCTAATGGAAAGATGATTTTTCAAGACCCTATAGAATTTTAGGTAGTAATATGTGATTTCCAAAGATTTGAAGGAATAGTACAGAATTATTGAAGAAGAGGAAGAAGAAGAAGAAGAACCAATGGACTAATATCTTAAAAAATATCATTGGAAGGGGACAACTTCATTACTCCAGAAATTGACCTTGGAGCGATAATATTATTTGTAGTTATGAACTGCAGTTCTCTCTCCCTCAATTTGCAACTTTAGGATATATAGGATATAGACGGAGTTCAACGGATAGATAGTGTGGCAGTATTTTAAAAATCACTAGTGGGGGATGTTATTTGTGCATGATTGTTAGGTTGGATTGTGATTTTTTGTCAGATTTTGATTTAAGATATTATTTCTTAAGAGCTAGTAATTGGATTTAAATTTAAGGTGTATTCGTTTAGGACTAGCGTTTGGATTTAAATTTAAGTTGTTATTCATTTAGGCCTAGAATTTATATTTAAATTTAAGGTGTTATGCGTTCAGTACTAGGATTTGGATTTAAATTTAAGGTGTTATTTGTTTAGGACTAGGATTTGGATTTAAATTTAAGGTGTTATTGATTATTTTGGATTTTGATTAGTATTTAATTTTTAGAATTGATATGCAAATTCAACTACATATTTATTTATTGATTTGAGATCTCAAGAAGTCCAAGGGAAATTTTGTGGGTTTCTTGTTGTCATCTTGGATTTTAATAAAACATCTAATCTATTATAGTAATTAAATATAATTATTTTATATCATTTTAATTTAAAACAATAATAAATATCATATATATTATAAAAATATATGTCATATATATTTATTATATTTAAAAGTTATTGAATGTAATTTAAAATAATGGATCTGAAGGTATTAAATATATCTTGATAAAATTATTGCAATATAATGAATAATTATGTATTATGTTGGAAATTGTAAAATGAAATTTTAGATAATAACTTTTTTTATAAATATTTTTTAAGATAAATGAATGACATTTCACTTTCTTATAACAATTATATCAATAAATTACTACATCTAAATTATGAATATTGACTCAAAACTTTAATTAGATTTTGAACATATCACCTCTGATTAAAAACTTTAGTTTTTATTTTTTTTATTCTTACATGCATTTGCACGCATCAAAGTTCTAATTTCTTATTGTGCTATTCCTCAATCAAAATGGAGGCGTCTCCTGAAATGGATTTTAATTATATTTGGTAATAATGATTAACTAACATATTAATTTACTTTTAAAATCCTAAAAATGGTTCATAAAATTTAGGGGCTGTTTGGTTCGCTATTATAAGGGTGGAAAACTCAGAAAACCCTTCCACGTCAGATTTTTAGCCCTCCACGTCAGCTTTTTTGTTTCCGTCCATTTCTTTGTGCCACTTTGGTTCGCTCGAATGGAAGAGGGAAAACTCTGCTGAAATCGTCGCCAACTAAGATTTTTTTCCCTCTCCGATTTCCTTTCCCAACCAAGTGAAATTGATGAAAACTCTGCCACGTCAGATTTTTTTCCTTCTCTGCTTTGTTTACAAAAGTTTTCCTTTTTTTTCTATGCGAACCAAACACAAGAAAAATAAATACATTGGTTTCCCACCATTTTTTATGTGCGAACCAAAGCAAAACAATCTATTTCTTGGAAAAGTTTAGAAAACTCAAAACTTGTGTTTCTTTACATGGAATTACATTTCTCTATATCAAGGAAACGAACCAAACGGCCCCTTAAAGTCAAGATTTCTACTAAAAAATTTAGCCCAAGAATTAAAATAGTCTATAAATTTTAGTCTGAGAATTCAACCTTCAATCCAATAATCTAAACCAACAGTTCAAGAATTCTACTAAAAACTTTAAAATGGAATCCAAAAATCTAGGACACTAAGACAAAATGCTCTATTTTTAATCACAACTTAAGAATGTAGGATTCATGGACTATTGTCCTAGTCATACTCAACAATCTAAGAATGTAGGATTCATGGACTATTGTCCTAGTCGTACTCTACAATCCGGAACAAATAACACCCACATCATTTACTATCATATAAGAGTACATGGCATCCATGCTGCAAACTTTATATAAGACACTAAATAAACATCTATATTTATACATACACTACTGACAAAAGAGGATATGGATATAAAACTTTTCATTTTCTAAAATATCCTTCAAAGTTTATCAAAACCACCGTTTTGCACTCAAAGTCCATTCAATAAGCTTGAATGCTATTAATGCATACTCAATTAAATTAGGAGTTGTGTTTCTCTTTAGTCCTTTTGGTGACAATGAAAAAAATTTATATTAGATAATATTATGAGTTAGCAAGCACTTATGAATTTCAACAACCATCATATTGGGTATTTGTAGCTCTTCATTCTCCAATCCAAACAATATGAAAATGAGTTCATTTGTAATGCTCAACATTTAATTGTTAGATCCTAGAGGGGGGTGATTAGGGTCTTATGCTAATCTAATCCGATTTTATACCAATTAAAACTAATTAACAAGTTATCCTAGCAAGTATGAAATACAACAAGATATATGAGCTAGGATAAATAATATGAACAAGTGAATATATCCTAGCAATGAGATATTACAAATATACGAGCAATGATATATAAACTAACACAAGGGTAATATAAACAATCTACAAAAGAGATAGGGCAATATTAAGAGCAATACACAAAGGCGATATAAGATATGAATACAAGAATAAGAACGTCAATGCAATCACAAACAAAACGATATGATCACGGAGTTCGGTGTAACCACTTGACCTACGTCTCCGCTCCTCACCTCGAGGAGATCTCCACTATCACAACCGGGTTTTCTACGTTCACCCGAATAACGTATACACCTCACACAACGATTTTCTAGCTAAACGAAAACTTTACAATCGACACACTTTCAATCCCACTCTACACCCTCTCAAGTGTTGAACTAGACGTGTCTCCCTCAAGTGCTTGGATACAACCTCTCCCTAGGTTCGTCAACCGACGGCACTCCTCTTGGGACGATCCCCAACTCTCGCCACACACTTCTCTCGGTGTACAAGTGTATTACAAAGTGATCTCACAATAAGCACAATTATAATAAATGATTGTTCTCTAATATGGATGAGAACACAATGAAAGCTCACACTCAATTGTTACAACTCTCACCAACCCAAATATACTATGTATGAAAATACGATAAGCTCAAGTGGGTGTGTGTAAACAATGAGTGAAATAAAATCAACTAAACTCAATTAAAATCTAGCTTATAAAAATTATGAATAAAACAATAAATAGCTAGAAATAGAGTTTAGGAGTTTAGAAAACTTCTCAATAGATCAAGAGATAGAGGGAGAATAGTTGAATGCTCAAACACCAATGGTTGATCTCCTCAAGCTCTTGTGAAATTGATTTCTTAAAATAAACTCTCAACTTGCTTAAAAGCTTCTCAAAACAAACTTAAACAGAACCTTAAACCCTTGTTTAAACCTTTCTTAAACTTGTTTAAAACTTCTTGGATTGCTACTAAAAACTAAGGTCTAAGGGGGTATTTATATGAAACCCCAAAGTCAAGAGAAAGCCAAGAAAAGACCAAAAAACTAGCTCAACAATGGCTCTGGAAACTAGCCGTTGGAACATGAAAAGACAGTGCGGCGGTCGACCGTGGAAAACTCGCGGTCGACCGCAAGCCACTTTCGAAACTCACAAAATTCCAGAAACTTTGACGGTCGACCGTCTCGTTCGACCGCGAGAAGAAAAACTCAAAAACTGCTCTCTGGACTACGTACGGTCGACCGCCACGGTCCACCGCACTGTAGCACGATCAACCGTGGCGGTCGACCGCACTGTAGCAACGTGCACAAACAATTTCAGGTTTTGATGCGGTCGACCGATGGAGCTTTCGGTCGACCGGACCGGTCGACCGACAGACTCTCTGTCGCCCAGTGATCACGAGAACACAGATCTGGTCGACCGGTGCGGTCGACCGCATTCTGATACAAACAAAAACTGTTTTGCTGATTTTAAAACCCTATTTAAAAATATCAAATAAATTCCAAAAAATATAAAACTTTGGGGAATGATTGTAGACATGATAATACACATGCTACAAAAATTGGTTTTTAGAAAGGACCTCCCAAATGAAAAATATCATCATTTTGTCAAATAGTCCAAAATATAAAAATGTAAACATATGAATTTTGACATTTTAGCTTAACCATGTTTTGAAACATTACAAAATGATTATATAGACTTAATAAAAGATGTATATGATTGTTATTACGTCCATAAACTAAGAAAACAATATTTTCACAAAATTGCATATTCTATGCAATATATTCTGAAACATAATAGAATATGAAACAAATAAAAATATAAATAAATTTGTTTGTTGTTTCATATCTATGTAGCTAAACCAAAACACAATAATAAA